CTCATAATTCCAATAATAATAAAAATTATAATATTTCAATAATAATAACAGTAATGATATAATGATTAATTCCAATAATAATAAAAATAATATTACAATAACAACGACGACGACGACGACGATGATGATAATAAGTAGGAAGGGGGCCCCAAAGGTCATCTAGACCGTCCCCATAATTGCAATAATAATAAAAATAATATTTCAGTAATAAAAATAATAAAAATAATAATATTTCAATAATAATAACAGTAATGATATGATTAATTCCAATAATAATAAAAATAATATTACAACAACAACAACAACAACAACGATGACGACGACGACGATGATGATGATAATAAGTTGGAAGGGGACCCCAAAGGTCATCCAAACCTTCCTCATAAGTGCAATAATAATAAAAATAATAATATTTCAGTAATAATAATAATTATATAACGATGATAATAAGTTGGAAGAGGACCCCAAAGATCATCCAGACCTTCCTCGTAATTCCAATAATAATAAAAATTATAATATTTCAATAATAACAACAGTAAAGACATAACGATTAATTCCAATAATAATAATAATAATAATAAATATTTCAATAATAATAATAGTAATGATATAACAATGACAATAAGTTGGAAGGGGACCCCAAAGGTCATCCAAACCTTCCTCGTAATTCCAATAATAATAATAAAATAATAATATTTCTATTATTATTTAAATATTATAATTTTTATTATTATTGGAATTATGAGGAAGATCTGGATGATCTTTGGGGTCCCCTTCCAACTTATTATCATCATAATTATATCATTATTATTATCACATCATATTATTATTATTATTATTATTATTATAGTTACACATAATATAATATAATTATTAACATCATCATTATTTTTATTACTATTTTTGTCATCATTGTCATATTATTATTATTATTATTATTATTATTATTATTATTATTATATCATCATAATCATAATAATATTCCAACAGAGGAACATCCAGCTTCTGAATCAAATTATGGGTTGGACTGGATGGCCTTTGGAGGTCCCTTCCAGCTCTAGGATTCTATAAGAGGCTGTGTGGCCATCTGTCGGGAGAGCTTTGATGGTGCCTTTCTGTATGGCAGAAGGGGGTTGGACTAGATGGTCTTTTGGAACCCCTTCCGGCTATGATTCAGAGGCTGTGTGGCTATCTGTCGGGAGGGCTTTGCTGTTGTCTTCCTGAATGGCAGAAGGGGGTTGGACTAGATGGTCTTTTGGGACCCCTTCCGGCTATGATTCAGAGGCTGGATGGCCATCTGTCGGGAGGGCTTTGATGTTTTCTTCCTTTACGGCAGAAGGGGGTTGGACTAGATGACCTTTTGGGAGACCCTTGAAACTCTAGGATTGTATGATTCAGTGGCTGGATGGCCATCTGTCAAGAGGGCTTTGGTAGTGTCTAAGGCAGAAGGGGGTTAGGCTAGATGGCCTTTTGGGACCCCGTCCAACAAGGATTCATAGATCTGGATGGGCGTCTGTCGGGATGGATTTACGACAGAAGGGGGGTTGGACTAGATGGTCTTTTGGGAGACCCTTCAAACTCTAGGGTTCTATGATTCAGAAGCTGGATGGCCATCTGTCGGGAGGGCTTTGATGGTGTCTACAGCAGAAGGGGGTTGGCATAGATGACCTTTGGGGTCTCTTCTAAGTCTGGGATTCTTTGATTCAGAAGCTGGATGGCCATCTGTTGGGAGGTCTTTGATGGTGTCTATGGCAGAAGGGGGTTGGACTAGATGGCCTTTGTGGGATCTAGGATTCTGACTCAGAGGTTCTTGCAAAACACCCTTCTGAGAAAGATGAGGCCGAAAAGGAGAGTGACTTTCCTCCAGGGAGGCTTCGGAGGAAACAGGAAGGAAGGAAGCCCGGGGTTTCCAGAGAACCAAATGGGGAAATGGTTTGCAAACAGCGTCAGAAGCAGCCGCCCGGGTCCCGGTCGAGGCTTGAACCCGCAACCCGGGGCGTTTTGTGTTCCTTTGACGTTCCCATCCCCACAACGGCCTTGCTGAGACATGCCCGGCCGCCTTTGTTTTGCAAACCGACAGCAGAATATAGACATCTATTTTTCATCCTTGCATACAGAATACTGTATTGGCCTTATTTGCTGCAGCATGACAGCATCATCTGCATACAGAATATTGTATTGGCCTTATTGGCTGCAGAATGATAGCATCGTCTTTGCATACAGAATATTGTATTGGCCTTACTTGCATACAGACTATTGTATTGGTCTTACTTGTTGCAGCGTGACAGTATGGTCCTTGCATACAGAATATTGTATTAGCCTTACTTGCTGCAGTGTGACAGCATTGTCTGCATACAGAATATTATATTAGCCTTACTTGCTGCAGAATGACAGCATTGTGTTTGCAAATAGTATATTCCATTGGCCTTACTAGTTGCAGCATGATAGCATCATCTGCATACAGACTATTGTATTAACCTTACTTGCTGCAGCATGACAGAATCGTCTTTGCATACAGAATATTGTATTAGCCTTACTAGTTGCAGCATGATAGCATCATCTGCATACAGAATATTGCATTGGCCTTACTTGCTGAAGTGTGACTGTATCGTCTTTGCATACAGAACATTGTATTGGTCTTACTTGCTGCAGCATGACAGCATCATCTGCATACAAAATATTGTCTTCGCCTTATTTGCTGCAGTATGACACCGTCTTTGCATACAGACTATTGCAATAGTCTTACTTGCTGCAGCATGACAGCATCGTCTGCATACAGAATATTGTATTAGCCTTATTTGTTGCCGTATGACAGCATAGTCTTTGCATGCAGTATATTGCATTGGCCTTACTGGCTGCAGCATGACTGCAATGTGTTTGCATATAGTATATTGCATTGTCCTTCCTTGCTACAGCCTGACAGCATCGTCTTTGCATACAGAATATTGTATTGGCCTTACTGGCTGCAGCATGACAGCATCATCTGCATACAGAATATTGTATTGGCCTTATTGACTGCAGCATGACAGCATCGTCTTTGCATTCAGAATATTGTATTAGCCTTACTTGCTGCAGCATAACATTGTCTGCATGCAGACTATTGTATTAGCCTTATTTGTTGCAGTATGACAGCATGATCTTTGCATACAGAATATTACATTGGTCTTACTTGCTGCAGCATGACAGCATCATCTGCATACAGAATATTGTATTGGCCTTATTATCCGCAGTACCACAGCACAGTATTGTATCGGCTTTGTCCGCCGCAACGTCACAGCGTTGGCTCGTGTTGTTTCGGTTGCCTTTCCAGACGTGGAAGGGCAAATAGCCGCCTCCGCTCCTCCGAAAGGCCTCCCCGACCTGCCCCGGCATGACCCGGTCGGACCAGCTGCGTGGTAACGGATCCCTCTCCGGCGCTGTCCCAACCTGCCTCTCTCTGAGTCACTCCTCCACCTGGGAGGAAGGCTTCAGACCCGGGCTCGTTGCCTTGCCCTTCAAACATCCCCATTTGGCGCTTCCTCAGCAGAGTGGAGGGTGAGCCCTGGCACCCCGAAACTGAATCAGAGAATCCTCATAGAGTTGGAAGGCACCCCAAAAGGACATCCAGTCTGACCCCTATTTAGCCATAAAGGAAGACACCATCAAAGCTCTCCCGGCAGATGGCCACACAGCCTCTGATCGAATCCTAGTCCATCTAGTCCAACCTCCTTCTGCCATAGACACCATCAAAGCCCTCCCAACAGATGGCCATCCTGTTTCTGAATCCTAGTTGGAAGGGGTCCTAAAAGGCCATCTAGTCCAACCCCCTTCTGCCATAAAGGAAGGCACCGTCAAATCCATCCCGACAGATGGTGGTTCAGCCTCTGAATTCTTGATGGAGGGGGTTCCAAAGGACATCTAGTCCAACCCCCTTCTGCCATAGACACCATCAAAGCCTTCCTGACAGATGGCCATCCAGCTTCTGAATCATAGAATCCTAGAGTTTGAAGGGTTTCCCAAAAGGCCATCTAGTCCAACCCCCTTCTGCCATAGACACCATCAAAGCCCTCCCGGCAGATGGCCATCCAGCCTCTGAACCATAGTTCGAAGGGGTCCCAATAGTCTATCTAGTCCAACCCCCTTCTGCTGTAAAGGAAGACACCATCAAATCCATCCTGACAGATGGCCATCCAGCCTCTGAATCCTAGTTGGAGGGGTCCCAAAAGTCCATCTAGTCCAACCCCTGTCTCCCATAGTCACCATCAAAGCCTTCCTGACAGATGGCCATCCAGCTTCTGAATCATAGAACCCTAGAGTTTGAAGGGTCATCAAAGCCCTCCCGACAGATGGCCATCAAAACTCTGAATCATAGAATCCAAAAGGCCATCTAGTCCAACCCCCTTCTGTCAAACCCATCCCGACAGATGGTGGTTCAGCCTCTGAATTCTAGTTGGAAGGGGTCTCCAAAAGGCCATCTAGTCCAACCCCCTACTGCCATAGACACCATCAAAGCCCTCCCAACAGATGGCCATCCAGCTTCTCAATCACAGTACCCTATAGATGGAAGGGTCTCCCAAAAGGTTATCTAGTCCAACCCCCTTCTGCAGTAAAGGAAGACACCATTAAAGACCTCCCAACAGATGGCCACACAGCCTCTAATTGAATCCTAGAGTTGGAAGGGACCCCCAAAGACCATCCAGTCCAACCCCTTCTACCATAAAGGAAAACACCATCAAAGCTCTCCTGACAGATGGCCACACAGCCTCTACACTTGGGATCTGTTGTCAACTTTACAATTCTGGCTTTGATGGCATTGGGTGTTGTTGTTGTTGTTATTATTATTATTATTATTATTATTATTATTATTATTATTATTATCATCAAGGCAGAGCTATATTGCTTCCCTCCATCTGGACGCAGCCTGGGATTGCATTGGCCTTTTCTGCTGCAGCATCACACTGTTGTTCCATGTTCTATTTGTGGTCTACTTAACCTTGCTCCCTTTTTCTCCGTCTTGGAAGGTTTCGTCCCGCGTTCGGACGCCCCGCAGCGCCATTCCTCCGGCCCAAAGAGTCCTAATTTGGGATCGGAGACCCTTTCCGGCGGAGGGTCCACCCAAGAGAAGAGGAAAGCTGGAAGCCGCTGAGAGCATGAGCGATTTCTGGCACAAGCTGGGGTGCTGCGTCGTGGAAAAGCCCCAGCCGGTGAGACTCCCAAAATCATATTATTATTATTATTATTATTATTATTATTATTATTATTACTACTTTATTATTATTAATATTAGTATTTACTCTATTATTATTATTTATTATATTTGTATTAACTATTATTCACATTATTTTTATTATTTTTATTTTATTATAATAATAATATAATAATATTATATTATTATTTATTATAAATATTATTATTTATTATTTATTATTATAATAATAAAGTTTATTAATATTAATATTTTCTGTATTATTATTACAATCCACCTGGATAAAAAAATCACGCAGTCGGGAGACTCCCAGCGGTCACTCAACCCTTCTTCCTTCTTGGTCTTCTTTCCCATCCAGAAGAAGAAAAGGCGGCGGATCGACCGGACCATGATTGGGGAGCCCATGAATTTCGTTCATCTGACGCACATCGGATCCGGAGACATGGCCAACGAGGGTCTCCCCATGGTGAGCCAGGCAGACCCCTCTTCCTTCCTTCCTTCCTTCCTTCCTTCCTTCCTTCCTTCCTTCCTTCCTTCCTTTCTTTCCTTCCTTCTTTCCCCCTTTCTGTTCTTTTCTTTCCACCCTCTCCTCTGTTTCTTTCTCTTTCCTTTCCTTTCTTTCCTTTTCTTTCTTTCTTTCTGTCTTCCTTCCTTCCTTCCTTCCTTCCTTCCTTCCTTCCTTCCTTCCTTCCTTCCTTCCTTCCTTCCTTCCTTCCTTCCTTCCTTCCTTCACTTATAACTTTCCCTCATTTCTTTCTCTTCCTCTCTCCTTTCTTTCCCTTCCCTTCCCTTCTCTTCCTTTCCTTTCATCCACACATTATTTTCCCTCTTTCTTCCTCCCTTCCTCCATCCCTTTTTTCTTTGCTTCCTTTCTCACCCTTCTTTCTTTCTTTCCTCCCTTCATCCCTTTCTTTCTTTCCTTCCTTCCTTCCTTCCTACAACAACCCAATAACAATAACAACAACAACAACAACAACAACATATTCAAACACATATATAGATGGAGAGAGCTTGGGAAATAAAGGACATAATAATAATAATAATAATAATAATAATAATAATAATAATAATACATCACACAGTCCTAGATGCTTGGGAACTTTTGCAAACTCTGACAAAGTAACTTCTCCAAGCTCCAATGAGACCCGGTGAGTCTTGCGTAGTCGGAGGCGGAAAGGAACCAAAGCGACACGATAATAAAAAATCTATTTTTGCAAGTTGCTGCTTGCTTGTTTTCCTCTCCAAAGGCCAAGGTCTGAATCCCAAGATCGGCTCTGATGTGAGAAGAAGAAAAAAGCCCTTCCTCCATTGTGCATGTGGTAGGGTATCGTCAGCATATTGGAGTTCTGTAACAGAAGCGGCTACGATCTTGCTTTTGGCTTTCAGCCCAATGGAGTGAAAGAGCTTGCAGGTTAAGACTAGTTGACCTTAAGGGGGCCCTTCCCAGGCGTAGAGTTCGGCAATTCACTGCTTCATCCTTTCGTCTCTTCTTCTTCTCCTCCTTCTTCCAGTCCGGAGCCGTCCATGAAATGAGATCGAAATGCGGCCGGGAACGACAGTGGAGCAGTTCGCGTGTTTTGTAGCTGTGACCGGATGTTTGCGTGTTCTTCCTTTCCTTTCCATGTAAGTGACTCTCCCACATTTCCACCCCAAAGATCTCATTCTTTGCAAAGCAGGAGCTTGGGGAACTTCAACTCCCAGAAGTCCATAAAGCACTGTGCTTGTTCTACATTGGAGATGCATCCCTAGATTGGGGTGCTACTACTACTACTACTACTACTACTACTAATAATAATAATAATAATAATAATAATAACAACAACAACAAAAATCTACTACTAATAATAATAATAACAATCTACTACTACTAATAACAATAATAATAATCTAATAATAATAAAAATAATCTAATAATAATCTACTACTACTACTAATAATAATAATAATCTACTACTAATAATAATCTACTAATAATAATAATAATAATCTAATAATAATCTAATAATAATAATACTCTACTAATAATAATAAAAATAATCAACTACTACTACTAATAATAATAATTACAAATTATTACTACTACTAATAATAATAACAATCTAATAATAATAATAATAATAATCTACCACTACTACTAATAATAATAATCTACTACTAATAATAATCTACTACTAATAATAATAATAATCTAATAATAATCTAATAATAATAATACTCTACTAATAATAATAAAAATAATCGACTACTACTACTAATAATAATAATTACAAATTATTACTACTACTAATAATAATAACAATCTAATAATAATAATAATAATAATCTACCACTACTACTACTACTAATAATCTACTACTACTAATAATAATAATAATCTAATAATAATAATCTAGTAGTAATAGTAGTAGTAATGATCTACTACTAATAATAATAATATCTAATAATAATAATAATCTAATAATAATCTAATAATAATAATAATCTACTTGCACTAATAATCTACTAATAATAATAATGATATAATAATTATAAAAATAATCTACTACTACTAATAATAATAATATAATAATAATAATCTACTACTAATAATAATCTAATAATAATAATGTAATAATAATAATAATCTATTACTAATAATCTATTATTATTACTACTACTACTACTACTACTACTAATAATAATAATAATAGAAACAACAAAATTAATGCAGTCTTCCAGATCACATTGGACTTTAATACTACTACTACTACTAATAATAATAATAATAATGATGTGTTGTCGAAGGCCAGACAGCCAGGAAAACTCGCAGCAACCCAATAATAATAATAATAACAATCATAGCAACAATAGTAATAATATTACTAAATAATAATAGTATAGTAATAATAATAATAATAGTAGAATAATAGTAGTAGTAGTAGTAGTAGTAGTAGTATTAACAGTAACAGTCCTAGACGCTTGGAAAGTGTTCGACTTGTGATTTTGTGATACGAAATTTTGTGATCTCGTGACATCCTGTGCTTTTGTGTCAGTAAAATAATGATGATGATGATGATGATGATGATGATGATGATAATACACCACACAGTCCTAGACGCTTGGGAAGTGTTCGACTTGTGATTTTGTGATACGAAATCAGCATATAGATCTCATTTGCTGTGACATATTGTGCTTTTGTGTCAATAAAATAATAATAATAATAATAATAATAGTATAATAATAATAATAATAATAATAATAATAATAGCAACAATGCAATACTTAATGTTGACACTGCTTCTTTTGCAGGTGGAAGAAAGAAAGAGATCTAGTTTTATACTCCGAAATGGCCTGCACTTGAATTCCTTCTTTTGATCGTCTCGGCAGCCAAAGACCTTGGGAAACTACAACTCCCAGGACCCCACTTTAGAGCATTTTCCGTCCCGTCTTCGTCATTGTCGTTTCCATTCCCGACTTCTCCCTCCTGTCCTTTTGACTGGGTTTCTTTCGGGGTCTTTTAAATTTTCCTAACGAGGTTTATCCACTGGATTGTTTTGTTTGACATGGACGCGATTTTCAGACGAGCGCGAGACGGGGTGCAAAGGAAGGGGGCAAACGGCCCCGGATGGACCCCGCCACAAACTACAACTCCCTAACAATGAACATCCTCTGCTTCAATAGAGAGAACACCATCATGATGCCCGACTCCGAAGCTTCGTCCTTGCTTTCCGCTTTGGGTTTTAGTCCGAACTTTAAGAGAAACTCCTCCAAATGGGGTGCTATAGCATGCTATAGAATGAATGCCGCTTGATGCCACTTTGACGGCTACGGGATCGACGTCCGATGCTTCATCTTCACTTTCCGCTTTGGTTTTTAGTCCGAACTTTTAAAGAAACTCCTCCAAACTACATCCATGTTGTACAGTGAATGCCGTTCGATACTGGCTCGATGCTACGGGACCCTGGGAGTTGTAGTTTTGTAAGGTCTTCCCCTCGTAACGACAAACTACAAATCCCAGGAATCTATAGCAAGAAGCCATCGCACTGGGACACAACTGCGGACATTCTATAGTGTCACTATGATTCACGGGCTGGATGGCCATCTGTCGGGAAGGCTTTGATGGTGCCTTAATGGCAAAATGGGGTTGGACTGGATGACCTTTGGGGGTCCCTTCCAACTCTAGGATGCTATGATTCATAGGCTGGATGGGCATCTGTCGGGAGGGCTTTGATGGTGCCTTTATGGCAAAATGGGGTTGGACTGGATGGCCTTTGGGGGTCCTTTACAACTCTACTGGCAACTAGAATAGAAACACACACTCCACACTGGATCACAGAAAGAGATGGCTCGAGCAAGCGAGCCAAGCTGCGTCCTATGGCAAAAGAACCCCATTTCCCCCCAAAATTCGTTTTGTCTCTCTCTGGCCTGCATTTGAGTCTGTTTACACTGTCAAATTAACCTGGTTTGGCACCTCTGGAACTGTGATGGCTCCTTGCGATGGAATCCTGCATCAGCAGAGGAAGGAAGAACTAGAACTCCATCGCATTGAGCCATAGGGATTCAAGTGGCATCAAACTGCATCAGTTGGACAGTGTGGACGCACCCCTTTTCCCTCCAGCCGGCCTGGTGTGACTAGCTGGGCTATTCTGCAATCTCTTGTTTTGCTTTTCGCGGGCTTGCAAAGGATGCGTGTGGCTGTTTGTGGAGGGATTTTGCAGATTGTGCGTCCAAAGAAGGGTGTAATGTCTTGGAGAATGTGTCGTGCCTCATTTCTTCTCATTTCTCATTTCTTCAGAGGGGAAAAGAAATGAGATTAAAAGGGTCGAAAGGTCTTCTTCTTCCGAGTCTTGATTTCCCTTATGGCTCATGGCCTTGTGTTGACCCTTCGCTGGTCCATCTCCTCCTTGAATGGCTTTGCCCAGAACTGGACACAGGGTGAGGATTCCCAGTCAGGTCTGAACAGAAGGAAGGAAAAGAGAGAAAGAGAAAGAAAGAAAAGAAAAGAAAGAGAAAGAGAAAGAAAGAAAGAAGAAAGTGAGAGAGAAAGAAAAGGGGTTAAAGAGAAAGAAAGAAAAGAGAAAGAGAAAGAAAGAAAGTGTGTGAGAGAGAAAGTGAGAGAGAAAGAAAGAAAAAGAGTTAAAGAGAAAGAAAGAAAGAAAGAAAGAAAGAAAGAAAAAGAGAAAGAAAAAAGAATAAGAAAGAAAGAGAAAGAAAGGAAAGAAAAGAAAGAGAAAGGGAAAGAAAGAAAGAACAAGAGATAAAAAGAAAGAAAGAAAAGAAAGAGAAAGAGAAAGAAAGAAAGAAGAAAGTGAGAGAGAAAGAAAAAGAGTTAAAGAGAAAGAAAGAAAAGAAAAAGAGAAAGAAAGGAAAAAAGAAAGGATGAAAAGAAAGCAGTAAGAAGGGAAAGAAAGGGAGGGAGGGAGATAAAAGAGAGGAAAGGATAAAAGGAAGGAAGAAGGAAGGAAGGTAAGGAACAGAGAGGGAAGGAAGAAAAGAGAAGAAGGTAGGAAACGGGAAGGAAGAGAAGAAAACAAAGAAAGGTATGTAGGAAAGAGACAGAAGAAAGAGGAGAAATAGAAAAAGAAAGGTGAGAAAGAGAAGGGAAGGAAGAGAAGGAAGGAAGGAAGAAGGAAAAGGGGAAAGAGGGAAGGAGGTAGGAGAAAGAGGAGAAAGAAGAGAAAAGAAGGAAGGAGGGAAGAGAAAGAGAGGGAAGAGAAGACAAGAAAGGGAGAAAGAAAGATAGAGAAGGGGGGGGAGAAAGGGAGAAAGAAAGGAAACACAGGGAAGAAGAGGAAGAAAGGTAGGTATGAAAGAGTGATCAAAGAGAAGAAAGGAGGAAGGAAATGGGGAAGAAAGAGAAGATAAGGGAAAGGGGAGGAATAGAAAAAAGGTAGGTAGCGAGAGGGAACAAAGAGAATAAAGGTAAGAAACAGGGAAGGAGAAAAGGAAGGTAGGAAAAAAGGGAAGAAGGAGGAGAAAAGGAGAAAGAAATGCAGATAAGGGAGGGAAGGAAGAAGAAAAGGAGAAAAAACGTTGGTAGGAAACAGAAGAAAAGGGAAGAATGAAAGGAAGGTAGGAAAGAGTGAAGGAAGCGAAGAAGGAGAAAGAAGAAGAAGGGAACATGGAAGGAAGAGAAGAAAAATAGGTAAAGTGGAGGAAGAGAAAGAAAGATAGGAAGCGAGAGGAAAGGAGGAGAAGAAAGAAAGGTAGGAAAGGGGGGAGGAAGAGGTTAAAGGGAGGAAGAGAAGAAAGGGAGAAATGTAGGTAGAAAACGGGAAGAAAGAAGAAAGGTAGGTATGTAGGAAAGAGAGAAGAAAGAGAAGAAAAGGAGAAAGGCATTTTGGAAAGAGAGAGGGAAGGAAGAGAAGAAAGGGAGAAAGAAAGGAAAGAGGGAAGGAAGACAAGAAAGAGAGGTATTTAGGAAAGAGGAAAGGAGGAGGAGGAGAAAAGAAGAAGGAAGGAAGGAGGAGGAAAAAAGGAAGGAAAGAGAGAGGGAGGAAGAAGAAAGGGAGAAAAGGAAGGAGAGAAGAGAGAAGAAGAAAAGGAAGGAGAGAAGGGAGACAAGAAAAGGAGAAAGAGAGGTATATGGGGAAAGAGAGGGAAGGAGGAGAAGAAAGGGAGAAAGAAAGGAAAGAGGAAAGGAAGACAAGAAAGAGAGAGAAAGGTATGTAGGGAAGGAGGAGAAGAAAGGGAGAAAGAAAAGTACGGTAGGTAAGAACGTCCAACCATTAAGCACCAATTTACTATTTTATTAAGTTTGCCATGGCCGGGGAACAAGATCCCATAGGGAAGGCGTTGCAGGGCCAGAACCCGGCCTTCTCTTCTGCTTTGGAACAACTCTTGGGGGGCCTTTTCCGGGCTCGGGGCTCCCTGTCCGCCTCCAACCTGAGTGGGCCCTGAGCAAGGAAAGCTGTCCCATTGCTGCTCAAATCAAAGCCACGTGCACAGGAGCGCCAGGCCAGTGGAGACGTGGCCACAGACCACAACAGAGGTCCCAGGGGGCTTCTTCCAATGATGATGCTGGAGGCTCAGTGCCTGGCTCTCCGGTGAGAAGATTCCTGCAGGAGGGAAGAGAAGCCAGGGTCAGAATCAGGTGGCCTGGACTGGTGTGGAGTGAAGGAGGGAGGGAGGGAGGCTGGTCAGGTAGATAGATGGATGATAGGTGGATAACAGATTGATAGTGGGAGATTAGATAGATAGGTGGATGGATGGATGGATGGATGGATGGATGGATGGATAGACAGATAGACAGAGGGAGGGAGGGAGGGAAGGAAGGGTGGGTGGGTGGATGGAGAGAAGGATGGATGGATGGATGGATGGATGGATGGATGGGTGG